AATTTATGATCAAAACAGCATCATCTACAACCACTATTATCCAATGACATTCAGCATATATGATTTCATTTGCCTCTGTATCCTTTGCTGCACAAATATTTTAATAAACATTAGACAATTCTCTATATCGGCCATGAAATTAATGAGTGGTCTTCTTTGAGGATCAGTCCAGCTATCACACATCAAAGTGACTCCTTTTTTCTTTCCATACACCTTTTGTTGGTTCAATCAATATTTCAATATGTGCTCTTTCTCTTTCCAATAATTTTGATCTTAATGCATTGTAGCTAGGTGGTATATAACATGCAAGGTTGTTATTACATGCAAAAGTGAATGCATTTTTGTAATGAGAATTTCTTGCAAGGTTGAAAGGAAGTCCAGCTAAAAAAAACATCCTTGCAATTTCACCATCCAATTCCTCTTGCTGCTGCATGTTAAAAGCCTTCTCTAAAGCACTACTGGCAACTCCTTTTCTTTTCTTTGAATCATATCTTTCACTTCAATATGATAATGAATGGTCAACTCTAACATATGAGGAAGAAGTGTGGGATGAACCATGGGTAGATGGCAAAGATATCTATTTAGGAAGTGCCCTTTTGATTCTAGATTCAGCTTCATCAACTTATCTGTTCAATTCAATTAACTATTGACGTAGTAATCTTAGGACACATTTTAATTTCATGGCCAAAAATCTTAAGTAGATGTGCTTTCACCCTAGAATAAGATCCTTTATAGGTGTCACCACAATAATTGCATTTGAATGACACATTCCCTCCTTCAAAAGTTTTTCCTAACTTTGTAACATTAATCCATAATGGCTTATCAATTTTTACAGATGGCTCTTTTGAACCACTCCCACCAACACTAAAGCTCATTTTGCTTTTAAATTCACTGGTGAAGTAGAATAAATAAAAAATAAATAACGTGAAATTATAAATTTTGAAAATTGAAATCACATGAAGTCATGAGACCTGTCAAACAAATAATGATAAGCACAAATTGAACTAGATAGAAAACTTACCATACATAAACCTAGTTTCACATTAAAATAAAAATGAGTTATCAAGTGTATATAATTTATAACTAGACTCATATCCCATGTAGTTTGATTCACCTTCGATCAAACTTGATGCTTTTTTTAGTCATAACTTTTTTTTATCTCGTAGAGATGAGGATGCTCAGGTGGATGAGTGGCTTTACTCTTAGAGATAAGATACGAAATGAGCATATACGTGAAAAGGTTGGAGTAGCTCCAGTAGAAGATAAGATTAGAGAGAGTCGCCTTAGATGGTTTGGTCACATAAAACAGCGGCCTTCCGATGACCCGGTTAGGAGAGTAGGGTATTAGATTTGACTTATGTTAAGAAAGGTAGGGGTAGACCTAAAAAGACTTGGTTAGAAAATAATTAGGAATGACCTTTCTTTATTAGATTTAAACGAGAATTTAACTTTTAATAGGACACAATGGAGAAAAAGGATTCATGTAACCGACCCCACGTAGTGGGATAAAGGCTTGATGTTATTGTTGTTGTTGTTGTTAAGAGTTAGAGCGCAACAAAAGCGCAGTGAAAGCGCAGAGAAAGCGCAGCAAAAGCGCAGTGAAAGCGCAACAAAAGCACAGTGAAAGTGTATTAAATAAATAAATTTTTATTGTAAGAATAATTTTAATCCAAACCAAATAAAATACTTTAAAAAAAATATACTCTTCTGATCACAAATCTACATAATGATTGATAAATGAAGAGAAATGACGAATGAAGAAAAAATGATGAATTCACGAAATTAACTAAAAGGTTTGAAAATTTTTCTACGATTTGGCGTCAGCTTCCCTCGGCTGCGCGTAGAAACTAAGGAGGATGGCTTGTTGCTTACGGCCGGACCAAGGGTGCGATCGATCTCCAGCCAACCGCTGCTTGCCTCAATCACTCGGGAAGACCACGAATACAAATAGGAATACGGGATTAAGGCGAAGATGAAGACTCGGGCGTGAACCGGCTAATATGAAATAACGGGATTAGGGTTTTATTTATTTATTTAATTATATAATAGTTGAACACGCGTGTCGGTTTTATTTTTTTTTTTTAATGGGACACACTAATGACGTGTCCGACACGTGTCCTCGCCGTGACGGACGCGTGTACGTGTCCGACACTGCATACCCTCTTAAAATGAAGTGTCGATGCATCAGAGGTGGAAAGCATGAGGTGACTATGTGAGCAAAGTTGCTTCTGCAAGAGAAGCAAGCATGCCGAATGAAGTGGCTACATGAGATTAGGGTACAAGGAGATAAAGATTTGGACTTATATTATCATTTTATTTTCTTATTTTTATTAGAAGATATTATAGGCTATAGAATAGAGTTTAGGTTTAAGGACATGCATTATTCCTCTTTTAGTCTTTCCAAATAGCCACTGCCCGTTCTTTTTTTTCTTTCTAGCAGGATTTGAAAGGAGCATTTAATGTGTGCTTCTTCTAAAAAAATTCAGATCGACTTGTGAAAATTTCCTGGCAAGCAAATTATTTTATTCCAATATGTTGATTTTCGTTATTATTATGTTTTTTTTTTCTTTATTTGGATACTTCTTTTGGGCAAACAAGAGACATGTGTGCGATTAATCCAGATTAATTCATCTCCAATAATGATGCAGCTAAAGTAGAAAAGCAGCAGCTCAAACAACTTGCAAACTCATGAAAATGGGATTTCGTTATCTTAAATCATAATATTTGGTAACAGTAATTTGAATCGGTTATAATCCCAGCCTTTTTTTTTTTGTGTCTTTGGCATGGTACAAAAAAACTATAACTAAAGTAATAAAAATGATTTTACATTTTCAGGCTTTACTCTATTTTTAAGATTTTTTAAATACTTCGTTTCACATAACGGAGCATTTATTTCGTTCCAAACTTTTGTCCAATTGCTTCAAGTTAGGAATGAACAAATTTTGATAATGGCATGTATTCATGAAATCTTTAGTGAATGAGCTTGGTTAATTGATGTTAAAAAAACTTAGTAAACATTTGCTCAGCACTTCTGGCCCGGTCTAGCAATTAATAATTCATAGATTGTCAACATGTAGATCAAAGATGAAAAGAGCATGTTATTAAATGGTTAAAAAGGCATAGTAAGTTGAGTTCAGGGCTCACCTAAAATATATCTGTATAGAGGGATCTTGTTGGTCTACTGGAATCCTTCATAGAATTCATACTTGGCATGATGCATAATAAAGCAGTTAGTTAATCATGGTGCCCCAGCCAGTTTCAAATGCCCATCATTTTATGTGTCCCTCAGGGGCTAATAACTTAGGAAAAACTGGCATTAGAGAAGTATTCTTTACTAGTTTATAATTTACTTTATTTAGTAATTTCTAGAAAATGAATAATAACATCATCCCCCAAAGTATACTACAACCTCAAAGTATATGTTAGATCAAGTACATGCTCAAAATTAATCAATCAAGATGATTATGAATTGATATAATGAACTGATACAAAAAGAACAAGTTTCAAGGGTTTGGAAGTCTACAAAGGGTGAAATCATAAAATAAAATACAAATTATGGCAGCACATGTCTAACTGACTTTAAAACAATCAAACTCTAGCAAATATAATAAAACAGCAGGTTTAGACTCCCAATTTTAAATTAAAACCATACCATAAGACTTCAATGTTGTCAAGACATCATCAGACTATGATATTGAGATGGTTCTAAAACATTGATGTTGTGAGAGCATCGAACGTCGATATTTAGATAGCATCGTTTGTTGTTGTGAAACTCTAATCGTAACCCGCTACAGAGAATTGAAAATGGGAATGGTCGGGAAATGAGGTATTGAATATGGGTGATTGGATTTGGGATTGTGGAGAGAACACAATTTTTTTTTAATAAATAAAAAATTTGAAGTACAATAAATTTATTAAATATTTGAGATGCTCGTGTCGAATATGCGTGTTCAATTTATTTTTTAATATTTTTCTAATCAAACACGTCTTCAAAGTGTCTGATACACCTCGGAGGCCCGTTGAATGCTTGTTATGTCTGATACGTGTCAGATTCTGCATAACTCTTTGACAAAAAGTGTTGGTGCATCATAAGTTTAATTAACCTACTAATATAGGTGATATTAAGTTTATAAAATCAATGCCAACTTGGAAGGACATATGCAATAACCATAAGTAGTGAGGTAAATGGAAACTAGGCATGTATATCAACAATAGCACGATTAGTTAAAATTGGAACCATTCACAAGGGCTTTCTTTAATTGAATATATAATTTCTCGTAAACAGAGCTCAAGCTCTACATGTAGAAGATTTGTGAATTCTTGCTTCTTATTCTAATACTTTCCAAGGCCTACCTCATAGAATCAAAATTGAACTAAAGAAATTGAATAAGTACAAAATAAAAATTAGGATTTTCCACAAAAAAGCTACGGTCAAGCAGCCTATAAATGTTTAGGATGGACTTGACTGGCATGATTGTCTTATTGACAGAAAGAAATTGGGCTTTAAGAATTAATCCAATACAAGGCTACCTTAAAGACAGTGCTTCGACAACTCACAATATAAATAATGGGTTTGCATGACTTTTCTCTATATAAAAATAGTTATAGAAAATAATACTTGATGAAGAATGGTCACAATAGAATTAAGAAAATTAAAAAAGCAAGAGAAAGTATATCCATTGCATCACTTATATGAAATATTACAAATTGGTAAGCATTTCACTTGCCCATAGTAAAACATCAACGTTAGAGTTCTTAGAAATGAAACCAAGAATATGTCAGGAACAGTCTACTAGCAAGAAAAATAAATAAATAGACCAAGTAGCACCTAAAACTAGTCAATATTTACCACATGCACACTTTGATCATGAAAAAAAAAAATTCATCAAAGGATCACTTTAAACAAGGAAATCATACAAAAACTCAAAATTATAAGCATGCAGCATAACCATAATGATAGATGACCAAGTCATTGGAATGTAAAACAGTACGAGTGATACCTTCGGTGGTTTGAATGGATAGTCTGGGGGAAAATGAATGTTAACTAGAAAAACTCCCCCTGCATAAGGACTATCTGGAGGACCCATAATTGTAGCTTGCCAATGAAACATATCTTCAGCAACCGGGCCTATGAAATTTTGAAAGTTATGAAAAATAAAATAACCTAATAATGGCGTAATTTTTATTCACAATTGAAAAAAGGTACAACAACAACAACAACAACAAACCTTTATCCCACTACGTGGGGTCGGCTACATGAATCATTTTTCTCCATTGTGTCCTATTAAAAGTCAAATTCTCATTTAAATCTAATAAAGAAAGGTCATTCCTAATATTTTCTAACCAAGTCTTTTTAGGTCTACCCCTACCTTTCTTAACATAAGTCAAATCTAATACCTCTACTCTCCTAACCGGGTCATCGGAAGGCCGCCGTTTTATGTGACCAAACCATCAAAGG